TAGGATTTTTGTCATTTCACCTGTAAATACTTCTGTACCGATATTGTTTAGGGTTATAAATTAGTCTGGTTTTTAATCTCAAAACAGATCCTGCTCAAAGGACACGTGCTATGGTGAGGTGACTCCAACACAATTCCTTTAAGTGAACAGGTGTTCTGTTGGAGTGAAGACTAAGGAGCAGGTGCTAGAATGTTAACTGCAGATTGCAACATCTGGGTCAAGGAACTGAGCAGGGGGAGACTAATGGGGGTTGGGAGGAGGTCCCTCCAGGTCAGGAGAAAGAAATTGCAAAAATGCTCAGCACAGAAACAAACAGAAATTTGTTAAAATACAGATGTATGGGCCTCACTCCTACAGGGCCTGAGTCAGTAGGTCCAAGGTGGAACCTGTGAATTTGCATACCCACCAAGGTCCCAGGTGACGCTGACACTGCTGATCCAGGGACCTGCTTTAGTAGCGTGTTCTAGGAACCTCTCAAACTCTAGCCTCTCCTCCCTCTCTAAACTTATCTCAAATCATTTCATCTTTCCTCTTTATCTTCTGGTGATGCCATTTTCTTCAATTTCTTTAAGTGAACAATTGTCTTGCTGCCTCAAGAGCTCAGATTTGCTGTTCCCTCATCCTGCAACACTTTCCCTCACACCTCATTTTGCTTGGCTAATTCCTAGTCCTCTTTTATGTCTCGGCTTAGGTACCACTTTTCAGAAAAATCTTCTCTAATATACTCTCAAGGTTTGATTTATTTGCTATATGCCTCTCCTTTATGACATTTATCACAATTGTAATTATACAATCATTTATGAAATATTTCTTTATTGTCTGTGTTCCTTTCTAGATTCCAGGCTCCATGCTTTAATTTTAGTGCTTTAATTTTCAGTACATATACCATTATTGGAACTTAATATTTGTTGGATTAATGAATAAAAGAAGGTATCTAGATTTTCCCCAAAAAGAACAAGAAAACCCCCTAAATAATGTAATATTTTAAAATATTTACATAATATTTCACATTATAATTATATATACAGGGTTGGGCAAAAGTAGGTTTACAATTGTTCACATGGAAAATAATACAATAATTAATAAATAATAATACAAGAATAAACTGTGTTTCTCGTACTCACCACTGTAAACCAACTTTTGCCCACCTGTATAATTTCTTATAACATTTTAAAGAATTGTTCTAAACCATTTAATATAAAGATATTTTTCTTCATAACTAATTTATTTCATCAGCACACTACTACAAAGCATAGGTCCAGAAGTACCAATGACAAAATTTAACAGCCAAAGCAGCCATGGACATTTATAAAAGGTAAATTTGTGCTGCTTCAGAAGGTTGCATACAAGTAAATATACTTAGTGTGACCCAGCTGTTCATTCCTGGGGAAAGAATTTGGAGTCATGATATATGAAAGGATCATGGCCATTTGCTGTGAATTCCTGTAGACTCTTTCATCTGTGGGTAACCCAGGAGTGTATTTCATTTCCTAAAACAAATCCTCCAATGAACCTATGTCTAAGATTAACACGCTTTCAAAAACACTAGTGATATAGAATACCATCCCTACAAAACAAAGCATTTTCTACCCAATTCACTTGGAAATCAACAAAGATATGCAAAAATGATTTTTCATTGTGCTAACCTAGGGTTACAAGAACATAAGCAAAATACTGATTATACACAGAAGCACAGATACAAGATTAGACCCCAGTTTCCAGAAAGATGTTACATTTCCTTGAAAAAACAGCAAAAGGGTGATTTTCTTATTCCCTGTGGTGTTCTTATATGGCAACCCCAAATGTCTCATTATTATTTTAAAATGAATCCTATGGATCAAAATCTATGCTCCTGGGTTCTATGGAGATGTCTTCATTCCTGGGGTAAGCAAGCAGGTAGGGGCTGGAGGGTCTCCCCACCCAATCCTCGTCAATTCCTAAAGCACTAATTTTATCTTTTTTTTTTTTTTAAAGTGTGTATGTTTGTGTGAAATATGTATTGGGTAACATGTAAGCAAACTTATTATGAGAAGAAATGTGGGAGAAGTTACTGGTAGAAGAAGGTTGGAATATACCATTCCAGTCTAGCACTACTAGAAGTTAGTTCCAAGTATTACCTGTATTTTTAGTCCCTTTGTAATTACAGAGATATTGTGTCAGGCTTTTCCTGGTGTCCAGGTCATCTTGGACTGTTCCCAGTCCCACTGCCTTCTCTCTTGACCTTCAGACCTGCATTTCCGACAGCCTATTGGATAGGATCCCTTCATTTCCTCACATTCAAGTCATCAAACCCCTTCATAAATCATCCACCTCTTGTATTTTCTCAGTCCTTGCCAGTGACCCCATAATTCTCTCAGGTGCCCAGCTTCAAACTTGTGGAGTAAATTTTTTTTTTTTTTTTTTAGTTTTCCTTCCTAGCTAATCAATCACCAGTTCAGCTTGATTTCTTGTCTCCTATATTTATTGCTCGCTCACGTCTTTTCTCTGTTTTCCTAGTGCCCCCATGCTAGTCCTATCAGAGCATTTGCTGCCTGGGATAGCTTCCTTTGTAGCCTCATGGTTCCATTCATTTTTGATCTAGCTCATTCTTCCAGATTAATGCTACCTAAATGCTCCCTTTCATATTGTTACTTTCCTATACACAACTGTAGATGGTTTCCATTTGGTTTGCAACCAAGTCTAAACTATTCTGCTTTGCTTTTAAGGCTCTTCAAAAATCACCTGATTCCACTCTTCTTTCTAGTTAGATCAGTTCCTGTCACATAAAAATAGTGCAATTTCTGTGTCTGTATCTTCATATGAACATGTTGAGTGGACCTGGCCTAAAGCAACCTATCTCTCTATCTACTTCTTCAGTCTTTTCCCTCATCTTTTCTCACCTGTTACCCCAAGTTTCTCACATAGCCAAGTACTTGTAATTCCCTGAAAACACTTGTCTCTGGACTTTTGCACTTGCTTTTCTCTTCCGCCCTATGTCTCTTCAAACTGAAGTTGTACCTCCTGTGTTAACTCTTATTTATCCTGCACTCCAGGCAAAGTAATCACATCTTACTGAGTTGTCATTGCACCCTATACATACTTCTATTATAGCCTTTATTATACAATATTGTAATGTTTTGATTACATTTGTCTGATCGCCCTTTTAAATTTGAGCTACCCTCTCAGAATAGTTTTATATATATAAAAGACTGGTTGACCAGTCACTATGATGCTCACTGACCACCAGGGGGCTGACACTCAACACAAGAGCTGTCCACTGGTGGTCAGTGCACTCCACAGCCAACCTCCTGCAGCCGGCCAACATCCTGTGGTCCCTCCCCCCGGCTGAATAACCTTGATCGGCCCCCATCGGGACTGGGCGAGATGCCCCGATCAGCCCTGATTGCCAGCCAGGCCAAGGGACCCCACCCATACACAAATTTGTGTACTGGGTCTCTAGTTATTAATATTAATACTATTTCTGTTCTATCATATGAATATTCTCTAAGAAAAATATGAGGAACTGCTTACATACTGAGAATAAGTGTTAAATAGTAACGAGGTCATGTTCTAGTGGTAATTAGGTATTAGGGAAGCAAAGTAACTCTTACAGGACTCTAAATACCAGCAATTCTCTACAAAAATAATACACTGCAAGCACATTATTTACATATTATTATAGGGTTACAGATATTAAATGTCACCTTGGGGCTACAGCTATATCCACATTTTGTTGGGCCTGAAGGTCATAAATGTGGAAGTTCTGCATTAAAAAAAAAATCAGAACCCAAAGTTAGGTATAGTTTATGCAAATGAGGAGCACTAAAGCTTAGGCTTCATCTGCTTCACAGAAAAGCTGAGTGGCTGGCACATAAAAGGTGGATTTTCTCTCTACTCATCTGTCATACTAGGGAAAGGCTTGGACATTAGGAAGAATAGTATTCATTAAACTGATGTCAAAAAGTTTATAATAAATACATTACCTGTAAAATGAATCTGTAAATCAATCTTAGCAACATCCTTATTTTATCTTTAATCTGTCAGCTTTTATTAGATTATTTGGCTTTCTTTAAAAATTGGGGGGGAAAAATCACAGGTATTCATTGAGTATAGGTCATAAATACTTTCTTTTTCAAGCTTTAGTCTGTATACCTGTGCTGTCCGATACCATAATCATTAGCCACATGTGGTATTGAGCACTTAAAATGTCACCAGTACAACTGAGGGACTGAACTTTAAATTATTTTTAATTAAAAAAACTGATATCAACTCAATTTTACAAAATTGAATATTAGAAAAAAATTAAGTAGGTTTAGCATGACTTGTGTATGTCAATCTACTTTTTGAACTATAGGTTTTATAAAATCTAAATGTAAATTATTTATTTCCTAGGAAAATGTTGTAGGCAAATTGAGATGTACTGTAATTGTAGAATTCACATTGGATTTTGAAAGCCTAGTATGACAAAAAGAATGTAAACTATCATAAAAATAATGTTTATATTGGTTACATGTGGAAATGATAATGTTTTCATTTATTGGTTAAATAATGCACATTTAAAAAGTTAATTTTTCTCAGTCCTTCCTTTTTTAAAATGTGGCTACTAGTCCTAGCAGGTATGGATCAGTGGATAGAGCTCCAGCCTGAGGACTGAAAGGTCCTGTGTTCGATTCCAGTCAAGGGCACATGCCCAGGTTGTGGGCTCGATCCCCAGTAGGGGACATGCAGGAGGCAGCCTATGAATGATTCTCTTTCATCATTGATGTTTCTATCTCTCTCTCCCTCTCCCTTCCTCTATGAAATAGATAAGAATATTAAAAATAAAATAAAATGTGGCTACTAGAAAAATTTTAATTACATATATGGCTAACATTATATTTCTATTGGACAGTGCTGCTTTAAACTCTGTTTTTCTCAAAGGGAGTATTTAATTTTTAAAACCACTTACTTAAAAGACAAACTTAGGAGAATCATGGTAGATGGAAAGCAGTTACTAAGCATTACTCATGGGGCACTTTTACCTTACTTGAGGTGGTGGAATTCCTACCACTATGCAATCCAACTGTACTCTGGTTCCTTCTGGAACTTCTCTGCTCCATAACTTTTGAGTGAATCGGGGAGGTTGTCCCAGAGGTTCTTCATAGTACAAGGATGACGGTGAAGACCCTGGGGTGGTGTCTCCACCAGCTGCTTCACTGGCAGCCTGCTCAGCCCCACGCAGCTTGGCTTCCTGCTGCTCAAGGGCATGATTCACTTCGTTATCTCTAGTATCTGTCGGGATGGGAATGGGAACAGATGATCTTTCTCTTTTTTCTGATAGAGCTGAGAAACTGGAGCTATTTTCCTGCATAACTTTGTTTTGAGATTCCAATTTGCTCTTGTGGTTTTTGCAGGCCCGGGGCCTAATCCTTTTGGAGCTATGGGCTTTGAAAAGGGAGGACAGCTCTTCAATAAAATCAGCAGCCTTATTTAAGAATAGTTTTTTGGACTGAGACTCAGAACTATACTGTGGCCTTGTTGCCTCCGGAGGGCTCTCGTTAGAGCTGGTAGGACTTGGAGAGTTATCCTGGTGGAAGTTAGGGTCAAAACTTGATTTTGATAGGTGTTTCATCTGATCAGAAGAAAGATGTTTTCTGGCTTGAGCTTCATCTGCTTTCTCCAAAGGGTCGTGATTGATCGCCAATCTTGCCAGATTGACACTTTCATCTAATTCTTCTTGGCTCAGAAAAGCTGAAAGATCTGGAAGGTCATCTTGGCTTCCTCCGTCTTCTGCATCCCCAGAAGGACTGCCAAAATGGAAAGGGTTGGAAGAAGGCTCTGCTCGGCTCCTCTCATTGTTTCCCCGATGTCTGGTTTCTGCTAAGTAGCTCTCTCTGAGGAGCTGAGAAATGGAAGTAGAAGCTTCTATGCTGTCGTCTTGCATGCTGTGAGAAAACAATAGTAATAAGTTTGGATCATTTCCAGAGAACAACAAATGTATGTTTACTAAAGCATGATGGATTCCTAAGAACTTAAAGCTTGAAATAAACAATTGCCTAATTTTAACACTTTTACAAAATTTACTATAAAGACTTAAAGATTATTCTCAAATTGTAAAATGAAGAGGAACTGAATGAGATTTTATTGAAATTGAAAATAAAAATATAGGCATTACCACTTTATGAAATTCTTTAAATATAAGTTCAACTGAGGAAGCTATGCTATAGCTATAGTAACATTAAATAAAATTTCTAAATATAATTTTGACAGTATCTGTTAAGGGCTTTTAGTTATAAAGTACAGAGGTTTGCTCTCCATCCTCTCCCTTTTACCTTGAATGTAATAAAATAATAAAAATTAAAAGATATTGACAACATAATCTCAATTGGTTAGTGAAATTTTAAACTTGACCCAGCTCATGAAAATAATGCTTTTGTTTTAAGAAAGCTAGAAACTTTTGTTTATAGGTTTAATCTGCTCTTGAAAACTATAATAATTTAGCCTTTACAAATAAGGTATAACTAATTTAATTTCTATAAAGATATGAGTTAAACCCTAGGTTTTAAAATATCTCTTAAATTAACCTCAGTGAAGAAGGGAGATGGAAGACAAGAAAGTGGGGGCAAGACAAGACATTCCTCACTTTATACCCTTTCCTGACTTTTGAATTTTAATTATATGATCATATTACTGATTAAAAAATAAAATTTTTTAAAGCTTAAGAAAATAGTACAGTACCCATAATTCTAAGTTCCCTGGACTAGAAAGTTTGGTAATGCAAACCAATGTTATATTATTAATATTATATCTATTTATTCATTCACACACTTACTAGAGGGATGGCAACTTGTGACCCACAGGCTGTTACTCCTCTCTCTCCTCCTTATAAAAGATGTAGCTAAGTGATTACAGTACTTTTTTCATCGACCTTGACTTTCTTAACACTCCACTCCATCTGCTACCACCAATCAATCAGAGATGGTAATGGAGATGAAAACTATTTGCCATTCTGCCCTAGCTGGTTTGGCTGAGTGGATAGAGCATTGGCCTGCAAACTGAAGGGTCCTGTGATCTATTTCAGTCAAGGGCACATGGCCAGATTGCAGGCTTGATCCCTAGTAGGGAGCCTGCAGGAGGTAGCCAATCAATGATTCTGATCATTGATGTTTCTATCTCTCTCTCCCTCTCCCTTCTTCTTTGAAATCAATTAAAAAACAACAACATTTAAAAAAAAAAAAGCTATTTACCACTTGTAACTATAATACTAAGTGCTGGGAACATGGAGAAAAAACTGATCTCCTAAATCTTTTCTGTTTTTTATGACAAAACTTATTTCAGTTCACCTCTTATATAATAGTCTCACTTGTATCATAAATAAATTTCCCAAAGTTCTCAAATTTTAAAACTAACCTCTAAATTGGCAAAGTGAGCAATGACTTTGAGATGGCAATTACAGATGGCTAAAAGGATTACCTACAGCAGATATTTTCCCACTGTTGCAGCCTGGGATTTCCACTACTGAATCCATTTATTTGGGTAAGAAGTCTATTGTGTCTTAATAAAAGGTTAATTGATAATGCAAAGACATTAAGTGGGTATAAAGATTTATCTACAAAGATATTCATCATAGTATAGATGATAATATTAAAAAATTGGAATCATGTCCAATAAGAAATTAGTTAATTAAATTGTTATTATATATACTCATCAGATAGAACTATATGGCTATGTTAAAGTTTGTACAACTGTGAATGACACATAAAATAGTACATGAATGGGGGGAGAGGGGATTGGTAAGGTATGTACACATATAATATCTTAATTAAAAAACAACAACAAAAAATAGTACATGAAAGTATAACTGACATCCCAATTGAAAATTTGTTTATTTTGTGCATTAACTATGCAGCAGAATAGTTAAAGATATATGAAATCAGGTACAACATGCTATTAATATTTGAAAATGTAATTAATGTTCTGATTGAAAATGCTTCTCATTTGTTAATCAGCTACTTCATTAGCCTACTTTGAGTTTCTGTATATATTTAGATGTGAGGAAAAAAATTGAGAGCTTTATGAATCAGATGGCCTTCTCCCTTTTGTTGGACATTACTCATATTGTGTTTTAATGTACCTTTGTCTCTAACTATTTAATATGGCTTGCGCATGTCCCTGACCAGAATCAAACCTGGGACCTTTCTTTTTTAAAAAAAATATATTTTATTGATTTTTTTACAGAGAGGAAGGGAGAGAGATAGAGAGCTAGAAATATCGATGAGAGAGAAACATCGACCAGCTGCCTCTTGCACACCCCCTACCGGGGATGTGCCTGCAACCAGTGTACATGCCCTTGACCAGAATCGAACCTGGGATCTTTCAATCCGCAGGCTGATGCTCTATCTACTGAACAAAACCAGTTTCAGAAATAAAGAGTTTCATTAATATTTTAATGTAGTGTTTATTATCTAACACTTGGAGTTAGATAGATCTGGTTCAAATCCAATTCTGACACCTCTTAGTTGTATAAATACAAGAAAGTTATTTAACTTTTGTAAGCTTCAGTTTACTCATTTATTAAACAGGTATAATTACAGTAGCCATCTCATAGGTTGAAGTAATGATTAAATATGTTTGGTATTTTATAGATGTTCAATAAATGGTAGTTACTATTATAATTATTGTTATTGTTATTATAATCATTTAACAGCTTTAGCCACATACCATGATAAGAAATGGAAGTAGGCTCTAGCCGGATTGGCTCAATGGATAGAGCACTGACCTGCAGACTGAAGGGTCCTAGGTTTGATTTCAGACAAGGGTGCATGCCTAGGGCTCAATCCCCAGTAGGGGCAAGCAGGAGGCAGCCAATCAATGATTCTCTCTCATCATTGATGTTTTATCTATCTGTCTCCCTCTCCCTTCCTTTCTGAAAGTTAAAGAGTAGTTATCGGTGGGAAAGGGTGAGAAATGGTCAGATTTGAGATATCTTTTGAAAATAGAGCGAGTGTGATTTGCTGATGGATTGAGTGTGGGATGGGAGAGAAAGAGCAGAGTAAAAGGTGGCCACAATAATTACGGCTTGAGCAACTAGGTGAGTGGTGGACTGATTTACTTGAATAAGCCAAGAGCAGGTTTCAAGAAAGGAAACTAAAAGCTTTCTTAGACATTTTACCTACGATATTTTTTCTGCTTCTGACAAAATTCAAACTTGGATTTTATGCCATTTTCAAAATAAAAAGGAGCAAATTGCCCTTGAAAACAGATATGGTCCTAGGTTGAAAATGAAACAATATGGCATAAACAATCATGACAGACTAGTAAATTATGGAAACTAATTTAGCCACATAGAATGCTTATTGAATGTTCTCTACTTTGCTAAATATCTCTGTTTTTTTCCTCCTAGGATTTTTCTTGAAAAGAAGATCTCTAAAAAACTTGCTGAAAATGTAAAAGTCCAATTCATACAAACAAAACTTGATGCTGATACTCTGGGGTATATAGTCATGTGCCACACAACAATGATTGGGTCAGTGATGGAACATATATTCAATGATGGTCCCCTATAATTACTGTTAAAGTAGAGCTAAAACATTTTTGTTACCTCGTGCTGGTGTTGCTGTGGTAATGTCATAAAGTACTAGTGCAAAGCATTACTGTTTGTGCTGTCTTGGGCTATCCAGAAGGACTGGAAATGCTTGGGGACTCAGCTGGCCACTACGCTTTCCCATACACACTACCCCTTCCTAAACCAATGTGTCAGCTGGACTGACCCTTAAGAGTTTTTATTAGAATACAAGATAGCCTTCAGCAATAACCATTAGAAAACTCTGAACAAAAAAAGAGTTTATTATTTACAGGCCCTGGAACATACACAATATGCCATGGGCAACTGCAGGGTTGCAGGTAGAGAGAGAGAGGGAGGGAACAGGAGCCTGGCATTCTCTTTTTACTGTAGTCGAGGATGGTAGCCTAGGTTTTCGTGGGCTCACTATTTATTGGTGAGCTTGAAACATAAAACCAGCCCTTGGATGGTTTGGTCTAGGGGATAGAGCGCTGATCTAAGGAGTGAAGGGTCTCAGGTTCTATTCTGGCCAAGGGCACATACCTCAGTTGCAGTCTCCATCTCTGGCCCTGTTGGGGCAAATATGGGAGGCAACCAATCGATGTGTCTCTCTCACATCAATGTTTCTCTCTTCCTGTCTCTCCTCCTCTCTTCCACTCTCTCTGAAAATCAATGGGAAAATATCCTTGAATGAGGATTGACAAGAAATATAAATAAATAAATAAATAAATAAATAAATAAGAACCATGCCCTGGCTGGTGTGGCTTAGTTGGTTCAGAGTCATCTCATGCACCATAAGGTTGCCAGTTCCATTCCCGGTCAGGGCCCAGGTTGCATGCTCCATCGCCAGTATGGGATATGTAGGAGGCAGCCAATTGATATTTTGCTCTCACTTTTATGTTTCTCGCACTCTCTCTTTCTTCCCCTCTCTCTAAAAATCAATTTAAAACGTTTATTTTTAAAAAATATACATAAAAGCCATAATTTAAGGCATGGGAAGAGGAAAAAAACAAGTAACCCAAATTGGTCAGTTACCAAAATCAACCAAGATTTCTAAAACAAAGGCACTCAGTGGGGTGAGGCAGCATGGTTATTTATCTAATCCTGAGACTGGCAATGTATTTATTCTAGGTAACCTCAGTTTAAGTGGATGCCTGGGTAATCGGGCATTTGCATTACACACACATAAAAAGTCAACTGTCAGGGCTCAGACTACATTACTCATGTGTTTGTGGTGATGCTTGTATAAATAACCCTTTTATGCTGCCAGTCTTATAAAAGTATAGCACATACAATTAACTAAAAGGCTAGAACATCCAGATTTGTGATAGTCGCCCGATGAAATCATCTAACGATGCCTTTCTCAGAGCATATGCGCGTTA